GTTTTAAATTAAACCAACACACTTAACTAGCTTCTGTACTGAAAATTGAACTAAATCATGTGAACCCATGTGAATTTGGGTTCATTTTTATTATATTTCTGAGATTTACAAATACTTCATAAGCACTTGTTTTTAAGCCAGTTAAACAGAGCTCTTTTTTGTTTTTGTTTTTAATTTTTTAATGTTTTCATTTATTTTTGAGAGAGTGTGCTAATAGGGGAGGGGCAAAGAGGGAGAGAATCCCAAGCAGGTTCCGCACTGTGAGCACAGGGCCTGATGCGGGGCTTGAACCCATGAACCATGGGATGATGCCCTGGGATGAAATTGAGTTCAGTGCTTAAGTGACTGAGTCACCCAGGTACCCCTGTTTCGTTTCGTTTCGTTTCGTTTCTTTTCTTTTCTTTTTTCTTTTCTTTTCTTTTCTTTTCTTTTCTTTTCTTTTCTTTTCTTTTCTTTTCTTTTCTTTTCTTTTCTCCTCTTCTCCTCTCCTCTCCTCTCCTCTCCTCTCCTCTCCTCTTTCTTTTCTTTTTCAAGTAAGCTCTATGTTGGGGGCTCTGTGCTGACAATACAGAGCCTGCTTGGGATTCTCTCTCTCCCTCTCGCTCTACCCCTCCTCTACTTGCTCGCATGCTCTCTCACAATAAACCAAAACTAAAACTATCTTTAAATGGACAGTTCTTATTTAAAAGTGTATATACAATTACATTTTTATTTATTTATTTATTTATTTATTTATTATTTTTGAGGGCAAGAGAGACAGAGCACGAGCAGGGGAGGGGCAGAGAGAGAGGGAGACACAGGATCCGAAACAGGCTCCAGGCTTTGAGCTGTCAGCACAGAGTCCATTGCGGGGCTCAAACTCACAGACCACGAGATCATGACCTGAGCTGAAGTCAGCTGCTTAACCTACTGAGCCACCCAGATGACCCTACATTACATCTTTAAAACAATTCTTTTAATGTTTATTTTTTGAGAGAGATAGAGCACGAGTCGGGGAAGGGTAGAGAGAGAGAGGAGGAGACACAGAATCCAAAGCAGGCTCCAGGATCCAAGCTGTCAGCACAGATCCAGATGCAGGACTTGAACCCACAAACCTTGAGATCATGACCTGAGTGGAAGTAGGATGCTTAACTGACTGAGCCACCCAGGTGCTCCTGTATTTACACTTTAAAGGCATGGGAGAAGAATGCTGGTTCCCCTGAGAACCTCGGTAAATAAGGGATAAATAGATACATAGGAGATAAATAGGGAGGTTTTGGAATTAGTAAAAGGAATAGGTGAACATTGAATGGCCTCTAGAGTTACATTTCTAATTTTGCCAAAACTTGTAAGATGTCAGTTCCTCAAACTGGGTTGCAATTTGAATGATATCATAGGTTGACCCATCCATCTAATTACACTATCTTTTTTTTTTTTTTTAATAAAAACTTTTACAAAGACCTCAAAAGTCTGAGTACCTAATTTCATTTTAGCTTAGGGGAGGAGGTCTAACAAATATTCTTATCAGGCTCTGTATGTCAGCTTTCAATCTAGCCAATTTGCAGTCACAGAGCCACTTAAAAATTCTTTTAAGTGTCTTGTCAGTTTTCATCTGGGACAAACAGCAACATTTCTTGCCATATTGAATAACTCCCCCTTGGATATAAGAGGGAGTCCCAAAGAAAGTGCAAAAGATAACTTATTTTCCTTTTTTTACTGGGTACTACAGACAGATCTGAGAGTGCTGACTCTGATAAGAATGTTCATCCTTAGCCAGCTTCTTCCAGTTTTTCCAGGATCCCATATGTAGCTCCGTTTTTTACCAAAATGTGGCAAGATTTTTATTTTTAATGTTAGTTTTTCTTTGTCTATGTAAGAGAATAATGTAGCATTTTGCCAGAAAATCTCTTTGAGTCCCATTTTGGAAGAGCCCTCCTTTGAGGTTAGGTATGGGAATGACTTAAAGGTCATTAACTTGGCAGACTTTTGTTTATGGTCCATAAAGACAACCCAGACAGAGGAGTACTAGAATAAGTATTCAAATAAAGGAGGATAGAGGGAAACAGTAAGAGTTTTATCGGTTTGGTTTTTTTTTGCTTTTAAGTACTTTTTATAGCTCTAAATTTTCACTAGTCTTTTATAACAAACCTTTTAATAAAGGTATTTTGGAATTTTGAAACCTTTTGGAGTCTCCTGCATACCAACTAAAATAGTATCTCATTCTGTTTGATTTGGAAGGCTTGCTTTTAAGGGCACTTGTTAAAAATGCTTTTATCTAATTGGAACATTTCTCATAATTGCCGTTGTAATTCCTCTGAGGACTGGTAGTGGTTTGGTAGGACCCTAGCCAGAAACCTCACCTTTTCTGTGCAGCCATATCTTGTCATAAATGGGGTGTAACCCACATTTATGTCTGGCCATATTTTGGGACTGCCAATCTGATGGCTATCAAGCCAAGTTCTCAGGACACAAAAAAGCTTAGTAAGATTTTGCCACTTCTGTTAATACTTATGTCTTCTGGACTATAGTTCTTAGGTATAAAATAAGTAGGGGTACCAGAAGGAAGCATGCTTGACTCTTTAGAGTTTAAGGATCCCATAAGCCAAGTTTGGGTTTCTCAGAGCTGAGCTAATACCTAAAAGGGATGTGCCTCTGGGTTGGGAATTGTATGGTAAACCTCGTTGCACAGAAATTTTCTTGAGTTTGGCAGGTGACCTAGTGTCAGCCTAACCTGTTCTGTGACCAACTTAATGTCTGAGTCTTTGAGTTAGGTAATGAATACTTTAACAGCTCTGAAGTGTTCTGGCAGTGCCCACCAATTTTTGTGGCTATTTTTTTTTTTTTACTTATGTGATTCCTGTTAGTTATAGCCCTTTATCTACACAAAATAAGACAAATGAATATGTGCACCCTAACATACCAACAGCAACCATAACATGTTACTGTAGACTGGCCAAGAGAAGGCTTTACATACCGTCACAGATTCCTAGCATGGGTTAAACCAGCAGACTCCAGTAAAATGGGGACTGTGGATTGGAACTGGGGAAAAGACTAAACCACCAAATCTCAGTAAGTGGGGACTATAGACAGGAACTGGAAGGGTATTCCAAACATTGTGGACTGAACCAAGAGGTAGGGACTCAGGTTTCAGATGGAACTGTGTGCCAGCTCCAGGTGACCCACTGAGCCCTGGACTAGAAAGTTAACTTAGGAGGGGCGCCTGGGTGGCTCAGTCGGTTAAGCGTCCAACTTCAGCTCAGGTCATGATCTCACGGTTCGTGGGTTCGAGCCCCGTGTCAGGCTCTGTGCTGACAGCTAGGTCAGAGCCTAGAGCCCGTTTCACATTCTGTGTGTGTCTCTCTCTCTGACCCTCCCCTGCTCATGCTGTCTGTTTCTGACCCTCATAAATAAATAAAAAGCATTAAAAAAAAAAAAAAGTTAGCTTAGGAGCTCAATGCAAAGGGAGCTCGATGCAAAGACAATGGAACTCAGAACTGACAAGAACTCCTCGGTAGCTCTTGGAAATGGCTAGAAAGAAAGTAAACTCGAACATTTCATGGGGTACCACACCTGTGTTTTTTAAAGCTGTCAGAAATCTCCTTTATTCTGCTGTTTTCCCCAAATTTATTAAATAACAAAAATTCAACTCAGTAAATTTAAAGATCAAATTGGCTTTATTCAACAGTTCGTGAGTTGGGCAGCATTCCATGTAGGAAATAGAAAGGAGCTCCACCAAGCTGTAGAAAAGGAAAGGTTTTTAAAAGCAGAAAGAGGGTAGAGAATGGAAATTATTAGCAAAGAATGCATTGTTTTAGGCAAGGTCACCTTCCTACAGGGAATGGAAGGGGTGGATTATCTCACTAATGCTGTCTAGTGAGATGATTCCATGTTGACTGGCTAAAGGTTACCATTCTTGAGGGGATGGAGGTTGTTGAAACTGCAATTAGATTGGTTGTTAGGTCTTGGCTTGCTGACATGGAATTTAGCACCAGTTACTCAATTTTTGGGCCTGCTGTCTCCTTTTTATTTTTTTAATTTTTATTTGTTTATTTATTATATAATTTATTGTCGTTAGCTAACATACAGTATATACAGTGTGTTCTTGGCTTCAGGAGTAGATTCCTGTGATTCATCACTCATATACAACACCCAGTGCTCATCCCAGCAAGTGCCTTCCTCAATGCCCATCACCCATTTACCTCATCCCTATCAACCCTCAGTTTGTTTTCTGTATTTAAAGAGTTTCTAGGGGCTCCTGGGTGGCTTAGTCAGTTAAGCGTCCAACTTCAGCTCCGGTCATGATCTCACAGTTCATGGGTTTGAGCCCCGCGTTGGTCTCTGTGCTGACTGCCAGCTCAGAGCCTGGAGCCTGTTTCAAATTCTGTGTCTCCCTCTCTCTCTCTCTGACCCTCCCCTGCTCACACTGTCTCTCTCTCTCTCTCACTCTCTCAGAAATAAATAAAACATTAAAAAAAAAAAAAGAGTCTCTGTTGTTTGCCCCCTCTCTGTAACTTTTTCTTTCCTTCCCTTCCCTTCCCTTCCCTTCCCTTCCCCCATCTTCTGTTGAGTGAAAACATGACTGACTTACTGACTGACTCATTTCACTTCTGCTGTCTTCTTTTTAACAATATGAATTTTAGCAGGGGCAAAAACATTTATTCTATAGCAGTACTATAGCTAACAAAGTTAAAGAATTAAATAATTAAGTAGCTTAGGACTCTAGCATCATCTGTTTCACAGGAGAGTCCATTATAGAACATCTGAAGACATTCACATTTGTAGGAAATTAGTCTGATGGTAGAAGGGGTAGATAATCACTTGTATGGATTCATAAATTATATAGTTTGTAATTCATATATGATTAGTAATGAATTCATAGATACTGGTCATTAATGAATATGAACTATCCTTAGTTTAAGAGAACTATTAGTTAAGAGAACTGTTATGTTAAGAATCTTTCATATCTTAAGAAAAAGAATAACTGCACAGTAGTCTTAACAATATTTTTTCCTTCCTCCTAGATTTAAACAGTCAAGTTAAATCAAGCTGGGAAATCATGGCAGAAGGTGGATTCGATCCCTGTGAATGTGTTTGCTCTCATGAACATGCTATGAGAAGGCTGATCAATCTGGTGAGATAAATGAGATGGTCCTATTCAGAATTAAACTGTATCTCTTCTGTCCTTTTTGTTTTTGGTTTTTTTTGGTGGTTGGGGGGGAATGTTGGTTATTGGAGAATTTTCATCTGATGGTCACTAAAATTATTTCATAATTGATATTCCACAATGGTTTAAGTCATAATGGTTAAAGTGCTTGCCAGCAATTCTGTTATTAGAGATTTTAAAAAACCAGATTGCTACCTTTATTTATGGTAGATTTTTGTTGATGAAATCACCATCATGGGAAGGTAACACATTTGTGTATAGCTTTTTTTGTTCTTTATTAACAAATATATAGTCTTCAGCTCTGTGGAGCTTGTTTACCTAATAAGTTGCTATGAAGTCACACTTCCTGTTGTGACATGGTTCAAATCCTGCTCCAATAAATGGCGTGGCAATAAAAATTTCTTTATAAAGCATTTCCAAATCCAAATCAATTATTTGACAGAGGCAGGTTTCTGAGCAACATGCTTTAGATAGTCTCATTGAATTGATTGTTGTGTTTACAAATTTGAATTTGTAAAGTTTTTAAGACTCCCTGAGTCTCTATAATCTTTAATACAGGACTGTTCATGTATTTAAATACAGGGCTTTATACCTTTTTTTTTTTTATATTTTTATTTTATTTCTAGGAGAGAGAGAGACAGCGTGAGCAGGGGAGGGTGAGAGAGAGAGGGAGTCACAGACTGAAACAGGCTCCAGGCTCTGAGCTGGCAGTCAGCACAGAGCCCGACGCGGGGCTCGAACCCACGAACTGCGAGATCATGACCTAAGTGAAAGCCGGACGCTTAACCAACTAAGCCACTCAGGTGCCCCCAGGGCTTTATACCTTTTTATGTACAAAAGAAGAAATTTGACTATTATAAACAATAATGTACACTGTATTATTATTAAGTTAGACATAACATTTTGTTGTTCTAGAAAACTCTTGTACAGAGGTACATTATCATAGACCAGGTAATAAAGGCAGGAACAAACATTTGCTCAAATATTTGAGTTGGTGGTGGTTAATCAGCAGGCTTTCTGCTGACTCAGTGACTATATGTAGTGATCAGAAGTGTGTTTCTTGTGATTGATACTCCTTTTAGAGTCAACATATGCTAGGACTTTCGATCCTAAAGGATTTCTTAGAGGGAAATGAATAAAACAAATTTGATAAGACTGTGGCTATAGAAATAAAATGAGAATGTTAGGGGCGCCTGGGTGGCTCAGTCGGTTTAGTGTCCGACTTCAGCTCAGGTCATGATCTCGCTGTTTGTGGGTTCGAGCCCCGAATCAGCCTTTGTGCTGACTGCCAGCTCAGAGCCTGGAGCGTTTTTCGGATTCTGTGTCTCCCTCTCTCTCTGACCCTCCCCTGCTCAAGCTGTCTCCCCCCTCCCCCCCGAAATAAATAAAACATTTAAAAAAATAAAATAAAATGAAAATGTCATATCTCTGATAACTTGATGTAAAATAGATGAGTGAGGAGAGAATATTTAAAATATTTTCTCTGATTTATGATGTTAAATAGCTGATAGCTTTTATGTCCAAACTTCAGGCTAAGGTAAAAAAAATTTTTTTTCAAATTAATTTGATGCTGGGCACAAAAAATAGACTTGTAATTTAACTGGTAAAATTTCCCCAGGAGATCAGTTTTCAGTAAGAGTTACTACCTCTTTTTTTCTTAGTGTAATCTTTTTATTTTTAACATAGTATCATGCTTTTTTATCTTAGCTCTGGTGCTTTTTTTTAGAGATGACTAAAACTAAGCTCTACTTTTTATGATCCCCTGTACATTTTTGTTCTCTTTAGTAGATTGTCAGGAAAACCACGTTTAGCTTTGTTTTGTTTTTAATGGGCACATTCATGCCTGATGGGACATTATTTATAGCAATCCTAGTGTGAAGTACTTTACATGAAAATAGATTTTAGATTTTACAGATCTTTAAAGGTGTACAGTGTACATCTTTTAGTCTGTGCTGGATATTTTCACATGATGTAAATTATTGTTGGGTGATCCTGGATGGGTGATCTGCTGGTATATAACGTGCTGCTAGCAGTATTGAAGATTCTAGAAGGGAGGAGAAACTCATTTGATTTCAGTGAGGAAACTTGCTAATTAGGCTTGATAGACATTTGTTTGATTTGAGTTGTGCTTTATAATTTTTATTCTTTTATTTAAACTCCAAATCAAGAGACGCTTGGGTGGCTCAGTCAGTTAAGCGTCCGACTTTGGCTCAGGTCATGATCTTGAGGTTCGTGGGTTCAAACCCCACATCGGGTTCTGTGCTGGCAGCTCAGAGCCTGAAGTCTGTTTCAGATTCTATGTCTCCCCCTCTCTCTGCTCCTTCCCCGCTCATGTTCTGTCTCAAAAATAAATAAACTATTAAAAAAATAAAAAAAAATAAAAAAGAAGAAACTCCAAATCAAGCAGCATTTTGGGCGTCATATCTACCTTATAGATATTAAGTGCTTTCTAAACTGAAAGAGTATCTTATGAAACAAGAACTCTAACTTCAGAAATTCAGAAATAGTATCTCGAACTTTAGAAATTCAGCAATGAGGTAGGTCTCTAACTTCTCTAAATTCAGAAATGTGTAATACTGTTTGCTGTAGCATTATTTCTAGTAGTAAAAAGTTATAAACAACCTAAACGTCTACCAATAGTGGTTATATCATGGTTTGTTCATATGATGGAATCTTCTACAGAGGTTTAAAATAATGTCTTTGAAGACTATATCATAACATAAGGGAAAATCTTATGTGGAATGTATAAAAGCAAGATCTAGAAACCACATTTAGCATGTCTTGCTTTTCGGTACCCACACACACCACATATACGTGTGCATAGGAAAAAAGGCTTGAAGAAAATACATTAAAGTGTTAACAGTCTTTATCTCTGGATTGTAGAATATAAGGTGAGAGGGTTTTTTTTTCCCCCCCCCTGGATTTTCTGTGGTATACTCAGAAGGGAGATTATTTAACAAAAACAATCTTTTTTTTTTTCATTTAAACATTGTCAGCACTCTTTCATACTGTACTGGTTTTTCTACCTCTCATGCATTCATTATCTTCTCTTATACTTCAGAGGACCTGTTTTTAGTACCTTCATCTTATTACTCTTTGGAAGTCTAACCCCCTAGTCTGTATTTTAAAAGGAGTTTAGCTGATAGTATAATTTTTCTGTATTAGCTGTAACTACCATAATTTAGATGTCTGTCTGTTCTGAAACCTCATGGGTATATATTGGTGATGACAGAGCAGAGATTTATCCTCATCTTTCTAAAACTACACATTTAACTCTTCTTTGTAATAGAGTAGCATCTCGTTAATTTTAGGTTCTAATTTGGAATTTTTGTTATTTTTTACCTCATATAATCATTTGATTTTCTTGTAGGTTAGAGTATTATTAATTCCTGAGGATTTAAGGTGCTAATGACAAGTAAAAGCCTGGGGACATTGGGGATTTTAATGGTTATTTATGGTTAGATCTTTAATTGTGTACTGGGCTGCAGTTTAGTTTTGCCTGTTCTTTGGAAATAGATGGACTTTGCCAGGGGATACATTCAGCTTAGGAGCAGTTAAGATTTTACCATTGTTTCCTTTCCATTTTAATAAAGTTCTGTTCATTCACAATTTAAAACTAACTTCTTTTCCTAATTTAGTAATGATATCAGTTAAGGTTCTTTATTATAGGTTATAGAAGTTCTGCCTGAGTTAAGCAGAAAAACACCTATTAAAAGGCTATTATGTGGCTCACACTGAGGAACCTGGCATGAAAAATGAGTAGGATCAAAGGGACGGTAACAAAGCCAAAACAAGAAGGAGCCAAAGTTGTGCTGCAGAGCTAGCGCACCCAGCTGCTTGCTCCTGAATTCTAGATTTTCATGTGTCCACGTATTGAGGTAACATCTCCATTATAACTAGTAGACATCTTACACATGATGTGTGCATTACCAGACTTCTTTTCTTGCCCCTAAACTTCCTTGTTTCTTCTATTCACTCCATTATTTGGCTGCTCAGGCAATACCTTTTGTGTCAGTTTTTACTCTTTCAACCTCATAGCTAAAGCAGAAACAAATCCTTTTGGCTCCACCTTAAAAGTATATGTAGAATCCAGACATTTCTCACACTTTCCGTGCAACATCCTGCTCTAGTCTACATCAGCTCTTGCCTGGCTTATTAAATTAGCCTCTTTATAAGTCTCCTTGCTTCAGCCCCCTTGCCATGCCCCACTTTCTTCAAGTTTAGTTTTCACTACAGCAGCTGAAGTGATCTATTTTCGATAAAACAGATAATGTTCTCCTTCTCTCAAACTCTTGCATGTCACTTGAAGTGAAAAAAATTTTTGTAGCCCTACGTGATCTGTCCCTTCTCCACTCCACTCCTCCCTTTTGCTAATTTTGTCTAACAATTCTCTTACAGGTCTCACACAAATGATGGATAGTGTAAAAACTTTAGACTTTTTAATAGCAAAATTGGAAGGCATTGGGACAAAGACTTTAAGTTCTGAAAGGAAATTATTACAAATCCAACATTCTCTCCTCAACCAAAGTGTCAAATAGGAGTCTTCAAAAATCCTATCTCATGCACCATTACTTAGAAAGTTACTAAAGGATGAACTATTTTTCACCAAAATGAAGGCATAAACCAAGGAGGAAGACTAAGATTTGAGTGTAGAAAGTGAGAGATCTAGCACATGCAACTTCTAGGATAATGGTAAATGGAAATCCCATGGTGATAGCTGTGCATCAGGTTTGTGGACACAAGACAGCTGGTTTCATTAAGAGGGTGTCACATGGCTCTAGTAGAGACTTTTTCAGAAGGATGAATTGATAGAATACCTGGTGAGTCTAGAAAACTGAAAACAAGATGTCAAAAGTTCTAGAAAACCAAGTAAAAAAGAATATTTAACTTTAAGGAAATGCAGAAAATAGTACAGAAAAGAAAAAGTAATTATAATTTACTACATGGTTCAGACGTGAAGAGCGTTT